AAAAAAAAAAAAAAAAAAAAAAAAAAAAAAAAAAAAAAAAGACCTCTCATTCTGTAGCCCAAGTAGGCCAGTAACTATATAGTCTAGACTGGCCCCAAATCCACAGCAATCCTCCTACCTCAGCCTCTTGAATATTGAGATTACAGGTGTGAGCCATGTTATTATCATTTTATATGAGTGACTAGAGAAGGAGCTAAAAGGTAGTCCTACATACTATAAATACATAGATCTTCTCAAAAGACCTAAGTCTAATGGCACATCTCAAAGGTCTGAATCTGCAGTGCAAGCTACATGTAACGTTCCCTGATGTTAACAAGTATTATATTTCACTTGGCTATTATAAATATGACTAAGGATCCCGACTTCTCATTTCCAACAAGAAACCACTTCTCTTAATGTAGCTCTGGAACAAATCCAGACTGTCAAAGCTTGACTGCTTTCATGTTCCCTGCCCCATCCTCCAAAGGGTTATATAAAACAAACCAGCCATGCCAGGTTCCTGCCCTAAGCCCAGGCCTCACAACTAGTATGAAGGGAGCACTACACTGAACCACAGACGTGACCTTGACATACCAACCCTATATTTAAGTCTTGTTAACACCAGCATTCTAGAATTTCCTGTTATCTCTGTGATAGCCTACTGCTTTTTCCTCTGTGGGAGAAAGAACCCAAAAAGTTTTAACAGAATTTTCCTGGCGGAACTTAAGCAGAAAATGCCCAGTCAAGACCACAAAGAGTGCCTTTTACTGCTAAGAACCTTACCTGCTACACTGAAAATCTCACTCTGCCATTCTGAAATGTAATATGCCTTGGGTTCAGTTCTACCCTTAATGTGAAAGGAAAGTTCTATAGCCACCTGCTCCTGTTTTCACAATAAAAGTAGAGGAATACCTTATGCTGTCTAGCTGGTCCGCTCTCTGCCTCATGCACAGCAACAATGCTTACTATGCTATCCATACTAGCTCTGTCACTCATTAATCCTATACCTTAGAATGACAAGGGAGCTGACATATCTGTCTCCTCCAGGTAAAATTTCCCTAAGCCTCCTGCCCCAAATGATTTCTTCCATGCTACCCAAACACATCATTCCATGGCAAAGAAATTGTATTCTTTCTAAGACAGCACACTGTTCAAAAACCTTACTCAACTCTGCATGATGAACAAAAAATTAAATGTGCACTAATACTCTACACCAAAACAGTCTATGACTTTGAAGCCTCTTTTTAAGACCACCAAAACAGATTGCAACAAGCCTTTCCTTAGAGGACTGTACACAAATTGAATGAGTCTGAAAAACCATTATTACTAAGGAAATGTGCAGGACTATGCATGTCTCTTCTAGGGACAGCCTTAGAGATGGAGTTGATAAGGCTCACTTCCAAGATGGCCACCATTCTCCATCTGTTCCATGTCCTGCGTAGGCCGGGGCAGACCAAAAATGGATGAACTAGACAAGGTCACATCCTAACGCTAGCCTCCCTTTGATGGGCCCCTTGAACCTGCCTCATCATTGATAGACTTGCAGAGGCTGAAG